CAAAGCCACCCTGACCCCCGTGGGGGGCAGGAAGGAAGAGGGGGGAGGTAGAGGGGACATTGGTTTCTCAGGGGGAAAATGGGGTGGAAAAAGGGTGGTTTTTTTCCCCTCAGCGGGGCAGGAGTGGGGGGAGCAGGAGCATCTGGTAGGGGGGGAAGAGGAGGGAAAAGGGGCCCAAACCCCGACGCCCCCGTGGGAGGGTTTTGTGGAGATGGAGGCAGGGAGTCCTCGCATTCCTTGGGGACCAAAAAAAAAAGGCCCCTAAACTTTCTCGCTTGCTTGCCCTACGGGCAGCCGAAAAAATTAAACCCTAAGGGCGAGGGATGACTTTTGGGTGTCCCCCTTGTTGGGCCCCCGCTACCGTTCAAAAAAGGGGGCCTTTTTTACACCCGCTGGGGGAGGCCCAAAAAAACGTATATAAAAACCCCCCTATGTAGTCAGTGGTCTCTGCCTGTCCCGCGCCCAAAGTTCCCCTCCTCAGACACTGTGGGCCCCCTTTCGCTCGCGTTCCCCTGCCAGGGCAGCAGGGGGGGGGGTGGGGGGTGGGGAGGAGCAGTGGCAGCTCCAAGCAGCGGGTGCCCCAAATCTGCAGTCGATGATGAGTAGCTTTTTTCACCCGCGCGTGAGGGGGAAATACTAACCAGCCCCAAAAGCAGCCCGCAGCTTGGGGACCCGGAGCAGGACCCCAACCCAAAAAGGCTTTGGCCTATTGGACAGGGCCCCCCGCCCACCGAGGTAGCCAAACCCCCTTTACTTAAAGGGGGGAAAAAAAAATTGACCTTTGGCCCCAACTTTGCTGAATTTGCCCCGGGAAAAAATGGGCCCTTTCCCCGGGCCCGTTGGTTTATTTGGGGGCGCGTGTTTAGTGCGGCAGGAGGGGCAAGGGTGTCCACCCCCAAAATTGGAGAGACTTTACGTTTGTGAAAATGGGAAAAGGGTGGTTTGTTGGAATTTTAAACCACCAGTTCCCGACACCAATGATAAATCCGTTTAATCATGCCCCAAAAAATTTTTGCCAAATTTCGGGGCTCCCAACACTTTCTGGTGTTTTTCCCTTTTTTGTTTAGGGGGCTGGCAGATTTTTTTTTGGGCCTTCCCCCTTTGGTGTGCCAAAGGCCCCCAATCTGCCAGGGGCCCCATACCGGCCCCCTCATGTGCTTTCCAAGTCCAGAGTCTCTCGGGGTCCCCGTCGGCCTCCCCTTGCTGCTGTCTCCATCGCCCCCACTCGGGGGTGTGCCACTTTTTCAGGTCTCCTACAACTGCTGGTGGGTTTCTCCATTTTTTTGTCATAGGGGTGATGGCAGAGTACGGGCCGCCCATAGCTGCTGCCAGGCCCCTAATCTGCCATGGCCCCCGTACCGACTCCTCATGCTGCTGCCAGGCCCGTTAATCTGTCATGGGCCCCTGTTGTCGCTTGTTGGCATATTCCGCTCGTTCAGATGCTCCTTCTCCTGCTACTCCTCTTCACGGATTCCGTCAGCAGTCTTTCTTGGAATCCTTGCTGCTGCCTCCACCGCCACACTGTGGCTCCACACTCTGGTTTTGGCCCCATGACTGCCCCACATGAGTGAAGTGTGCGGTGATTCTAAGATCGACGGCACTCATCTGCATGTCATACTGACTGTCAGTATTATTTCTCTTCCCCAGCAGACTCCAAGGGCATTTAAATTAAAGGTACAGTGTTCTGCACTAATATAAAGTCTCTCTGAAGCCTAGAAACACCCTTTTATAAGTTAAATTCGCAGCGAATATATTCGACTCGAATCGAAATTTTTCCACGAATTCGCCGAATCAGTCGAATCGAATTTTTGAATACTTCGCTCATCTCTAGTTACAATGCTCAATGCATCAATATACATTTAGGCACCCATAAATGCTGCCCTTTGTCTCAAATTGTGTTTATTTTAACCTTAGAACCTAGATATAAAACTCAGGAATAACATCAACATACAAGGCATCTATTGTGGAGCTTATTAACACAAATTCACCCTGTTTGTAGATGACATACTGATGGTACTCTCTTCCCGGATCACCACAATTCCTAATTTATATTCTGATCTGCAGCACTTTTCGTCTATATTGGGACTTAAGGTCAATCATTCCAGGAGAAGTGTCTGTTACCTCATACAGTAAATTATTTTTATACCCAAATAGCTCACTTTTTAGCCTCTCTAAAACACACCTCTGAAATACCCTCTTCTACTTCTATGGAATACCTATACCCAGGGGCGGACTGACAACTCATGGGGCCCCCGGGCAATAGGGGATCATGGGGCCCCTGTGTCCTTGCCCAAACTAAAAAAAGCCTATGAAAAAGGTACCAGGGGCATCTCATGGGCCCCCTACTGACCCCAGGCCCTCGGGCAGTGCCTGAGTTTCCAAAGTGGTCAGTCCACCCCTGATCAAGTCTCACCAAGTGCATTTTGTAACATCCCAATTTCCTTGCAATGTCACCCTGGCAATCTTTTGTAAGCACATCTCATAACAGAACATACAGGGTCCACTACTGAGTACAAACCTGATTTTTTTCCAAGTAATGCTATCAATATACTTCAAGAAATAAGAAGTGAAAAATTATATATATATATATATATATATATATATATATATATATATATGAAAAAGGTACCAGGGGCATCTCATGGGCCCCCTACTGACCCCAGGCCCTCAGGCAGTGCTCGTGTTTCAAAATGGTCGATCTGCCCCTGCTTATACCTATATTTGACTCAGAATATACAGTTGCGTTCAAAATAATAGCAGTCAGACGTCACTAACCTGATCAATCACTGTTTTTGGTAGAAATGATATTTCTACATGGCAAATAATTTACTAGCAGGTGTAGTAGAGTAATAGAAATCCAACAGACCCAACAGTCATGACATGCATGCTGCTGATTCTGTGTAATTGAATCACTAATTGAAAGGGGCATGTTCAAAATAATAGCAGTGTGGAGGAGTTCTATTAGTGAGGTCATTCATTCTTTGAAAAACAGGTGGCAATTATTGCCCTTATTTAAGGAAGGAAGGCAGCAAATGGTGTACATGCTGGTTACAGTGCATTTCTCTCTGAAATTCTGAGGAAAATGGGTCATTCCAGACATTGTTCAGAAGAACAGCGTACCTTGATTAAAAAGTTGATTGGAGAGGGGAAAACATATAAAGAAGTGTAGAAAATGATAGGCTGCTCAGCTAAAATGATCGCAAATGCTTTAAAATGACAACCAAAACCTGAAAGACGTGGAAGAAAGCGAAAGACTACCATTCGAATGAATAGAAGAATAGCCAAAATGGCAAGGACTCAGCCAACAATCAGCTCCAGGAAGATCAAAGAAGGTCTAAAGTTACCTGTGAGTACTGTTACAATTAGAAGACACCTATGTGAAGCCAAGCTATCTGCAAGAAGTCCCCGCAAAATCCCACTGTTGAAAAAAAGACATGCTGAAGAGGTTACAATTTGCCAAAGAGCACATTGACTGGCCTAAAGAGAAATGGCGCAACATTTTGTGGACTGATGAAAGTAAGATTGTTTTTTTTGGTTCTAGTGGCCGGAGACAGTTTGTCAGACGACCCCCAAACACTGAATTCAAGCCACAGTACACTGTGAAGACAGTGAAGCATGGTTGCGCAAGCATCATGATATGGGGATGTTTCTCATACTACGGTGTTGGGCCTATTTTTATTGCATACCAGGGATCATGCATCAGTTTGAATACATCAGAATACTTGAAGAGGTCATGCTGCCTTATGCTGAAGAGGAAATGTCCTTGAAATGGGTGTTCCAACAAGACAACGACCCCAAACACACCAGTAAACGTACCACATCTTGGTACCAGATGTGAAAGGTGGGTAAGTGAGCGCAGACAGATCAGGTAAGCAGCTAACATACAGGGTAATCCTCAATACCTTGGAATGTAAATTATGAATGGGGTATGTAGCGCTAGAGAACAGATAATAGGCACAGGAGCTGTTACAATATGAAGTAACAGTACAGCAGTTCTTATAATAGTTCATATAATACGGCCAGAAAAAACATGGAAAAGGTCCAATGATGTTCCAGATCACATTCAGTGGGATAGGCAAAAATAATGAGGTTGTGCGCTTACCCCAAGTACACACAATATGAGCATTGTATGCAATTCAACAGCAACCGGGCATCATGGTCTAGTCAACAGCCTGGGCGACATCTGGTCATATCCGGATATCTGGATCACAGGTACACCGCTGTCCAGGTACCCTCTGGCTTTCAAATCCAAAACGCCACCTTGCATAAGCTCATTAAAAAACGAGCCGGGAGGCAAGAAAGTGCTAATAGTGAAGTACGTTTATTAAGAACATAAGACGTGTGAGCAAAGCAACCAGAACTCACATCAACAAAATATACATCCAGGCCCAAATAGATAGGCTCCCTGGTGGTTAGTGGTTCACTCAGCATGCACCGCATACAAATCTAGGTCCAATAGATAAACCCTGGTGGCTAGTGGTATCATTGGTATTAAGCCATAGAGTATGGTAAGTAATTTGCAGATATACTCATCCAGGTCTGGTAGGGTTGTTCCCTGGTGGCTAGTGGTTCCTTAATAGCAGAGACATCAGTAGGGTGGATCCCCTAAAATGTTTCAAGCAAAAGCTCGTTTTCAAAGGGGTGAATCCTGCCCTTAGATGCCTGTTTAAAAACCCCGCGGTCGCGCGCATGCGCATTACGCACCACGCGCCGCTCCGGGACACTGCGCATGCGCAAGTGAAGTCACACGCTACCGTGTAACTACTGCGCATGCGCGAGCGCATCATCAATATGGACACTGAAGCCAAATCACAAAGTCTGCCCACACATAGGCAGGCTCAGGGCGGGTCTGGACGGCTTCTTATCCTCCATTGAAACGGAGACCAGAGCAGCAACTCCAGACAGTGTATACATAATATAGATACCCTAGATCACCAGGGAAAAATATCAGAGCCACAGAATCTACATAAATCAATAAAAATGACATGATTTTATAAAAACAACAACATAAAAGAACAATATATGTTCAATGTAATCCATATAAAAACTGCAGGATCCCATGTAATTAAAGTCCTTTAAATGATCCATCAGTTACATAAAGTGAAAAACTCATAAAAAAAAAAAAAAAACCAGCATGATCATAACACATTTCAGTGACTAATCCATGATATTCTCAAAAACAGAATATATATGATATTCTCAAAAACAAATATCACATACTTTTAACAGACGATAAACAACGATACTAATATACATATACTGACATGTAAAAAAATTCCTTTATTTAAAAGAATAATATTTGTACTAACACAAATACTCAATATAAAATTATGAAGAATAAAAACAAGCCCTCTGAAGTGCAGAATAGAGCATACTACACAATAATCACAAAATCCCTATTTAGCATGACCCTATTACTATCAAAGGGGGTATAAACCATCTACAGGTGATGAATCGAATTTTGTATCAATGACCGGAACAATAGTCATTATCAAGCCTGAAAATAAGTTAAAATAGAGAAACCACATTCCAACCCTCAATGGTGAGACAGTATAATGAATACACCCCAGATTGCGGTATGATAAACCGAACCTAGCAAATACTTAATGGAGAATAGCACCATAATAAAGATAGCACCGTGGACAAATAAAAGCCTAAAATCATAAAAAACCTATTCATAAAAAAACTACAATATCACCTACTAAAGTGGAAATCAGCTGTTGTCAAATAAAGCAGTTGATGTGCAGGTCCACATTCAAGCCCCTGGGTTGCAGAGACTTGAGCTCTACAATCCACTTCGTCTCAAGACGGGATACTGCTCTTCTCTTGTGGCCCCCCCTCCAATGTTGATCAATCACATCAATAGCTGTAAATTGAAGGGATGTGGGGTCTTTAGCATGACAATCTTTGTAATGCTTAGATAATGAGTGATACTCAAAACCCTTTTTAATTTTATTGTAATGTTCCCTGAGGCGATCCCTCAGGCGTCTTGTAGTTCTACCTACATATTGGAGATTACAGGGACATTGTAGGAGGTATACTGTATGTGTTGTATTACATGTGATAGTCTGACGTATGGTATACTTTTTTTTCCAGTAATATTAGAACCAAACTCCTTAACTTTGGTCTTATGTACCCCATTATGTCTACAGGCAATGCATTTATTGCACGGGAAGAACCCCTTAAGGCCAAATGGTAAAGTCATACTCCTTGGTTGATCAACTACATTAGGGGCCAACAAGAGTCTTAGTGGGGGTGCCTTCCTGAAAGTAATTTCTGGGAATTCAGGTAGAGAATCACCCAATATGGGGTCATCCCTAAGAACAGCCCAATTCTTCTTGATAATTCTGGTGACTTCTCTGAATTGGATGGAGAAATCGGTGATAAAGGGACAGAATTTATCCGGTCTTACTTTTTTTCTCCATAGTAAGCAAATCTTCTCTATTCAATAAGCCAATCTCATTGGCAGTTTGATCCAGAATGTGGGAGTTGTAACCTTTCTCCACAAATCTGGCTTTGAGCAACTCTGATTGGCAATGATAATCGGGCAAGGTGGTACAATTCCTCCTCAACCTGAGGAATTGTCCCCTAGGGACATTATTTAACCAGGATGGATGATGACAGCTGTCAGTGGGTATATACCCATTCCTATCCGTACTTTTAAAATACGTCCTGGTCACAACCTTAGTACCACTATT